AAGAGCGTTTTTTTCAAAAAATGGTTTTTTTCCGAAAAAACTGCATCCAGACTACTTTCACTTTCAAAACATCCACTTTCAAAAAAGCAATAGGAAGAAGATATGCAGATTCCCATAGAATTTGCACATTCTCTTTTGAAAAAAAATGTAGTTTAGACGTACCCTAGATTAAAGAAAATTTCCAACTGGGGAAAAAAGAGAGGAAAGGGGAAAGGTGCTTTTATGTAAAGTCATTACATCAGTAAAAAGCAGACTGCACATCTGACCAGATCATAGTTTAGATGCAAGCAGTTTAGGTAAAAGCTCAATTTTTTAAATTAGAACATTTTTAGTTTATTGAGATGGTAGCAAAGCAAAATCCACTGTAATATTTCATTCCTTTCTGGAATGACAATAACTTCTCTTCCCATGCTGGAGGTATACAAGGCTATGCTGTGCTGCTTATGTAACTTAACTTAGTTACTTAAGTGATTTGGTTTGGACACTTATTGGTGTACAGATTTGGCTTCTTCTCATTTCAGCACCTATTAGAGTTAAAGGAATAGAAGCCAGTTAAGGCAAGATATAGCAGTTAAATTATAGAATCAGTGCCTGCATGTCAATTCAACTTATATTAACATCACTGCCCACACATACCTGTTGGTAATGAGTCCATTGCCGAAGATATTTTTATCTGACTACTTTATTTTATCTTGACGCCCCAGGCCTTCCTTAGCCACTGAAAGTTATTCTGACTTAGGCAAATGAAATTCTGCCCATTTCCTCGCTACTTGCCTCCAATAATCAATCTACTTCTAAATGGCATCAGTGCTATTCTAAAGTCTGATGATGAGCAGTCCTTTGCAGAAGGTATTTTTACTTCAATACTTACCATTTACCTTAACATTGCAGATGGTTGCCCCATGTACAGAAACTTGTTTTGAAATAGCCAAATAAAATCTACTCATTCTCTTCACTAATTGTTTATTGCAGTTTCAGGCTAACTCAACTCTCTGCTGACTGTTCCCTGAAAAGAGTTGATCAGAATAATAACCATCTTCACATATAATTTGCATTCAATGGCAACACATTCCTTGAGTGTAATGAGAGTCCAGATATTCCTAATCAGATGACTGTCTGTATATGTATTTCATTTATGATTTATCTTATTCTTAGTTAATAAGTGAAATGAGTTTCATGCAGTCAGCCCAGTCAATAATAGTCCATGTAACCAGACCTCAGTACATAATTTAGCAGAATGGGCAATTTCATATAAGGTGAAGCTTGCAAATGTGAAAATATGACTCTTAGGCTACCTCTTACCCTCCTATGATAGTATATTCAGATAATGTCATTAATGGTATTACTAGTGGGGTAGAAGTGGGAATCCCTAAACTAGGAAAAAATATTATTACAAAATTTCACTTTTGACACCATTATTTCTTTATACAGCACAAGACCAAATGGAATTTCAAAAATAATCTAACACTATTAAATGTTAATAGGATTAGGATATCGTTTAATTTTGTTTTTCTTATTCTATGTTCCATTTTCCATCTGCTTTCACGTCTTGACAGACCCGATCATTATCTCTTCTGCAAAGGAAGATCATTCCTCTCTGGGACTTCATCTCCTTTTCTATCTTCATGTCTTCATTTTGTTTACCTTGCTTTTTTCATTGTTCAGTCCTGCAGCTTGGCATGAGGCTTTTTAACCTGTGCTGCACAAATAAAGGGATTTTTAAATGGCATCTGCAGAAACAAATGAAGTTGGTTGATTAGCATGTGTTAGATGTCTGACTAACCTCAGCTTTGAGAACTTACATATTTAACAGCTAAGAATGTCAAATAAAGATGTTACAGTGAATTAGTTATTCATTTGTTTGCCTATAGGGAAGCTTCAGAATAAGAAAAGCTCTTTCATTTATAACCCTTCACACTTCACTGTTTTTGTTTTAAATGTCATCTCTGGAATCTCACCTGACCCAATCCAGACCTCACAGAGGAAATCAGTCCCATTACTCTGCTATCACACACGTAATGTATATGAAAAAAGGATTATGCACACTGCAGTGCATTGGCAAGTGTCGATAACATATTTATTACACGCATGAGTTTAGTCTGAATGAAATAAAAGGAAACATTAAGGAGTGAAAACTAGAGATTAGGAAAAGCAGTTCACTGTTACGGTACAGTGACACATAAGACAATTTAAAAGATTAATATTATGATGTGAGAGTTTCTGGGTTGATTCCTGCCCATTTTTAGTGCTATATCCTTTCGGTTTATTGCATTCTCTGGGAACCTCTGTGCTGTAGCATGAGGTCCCAAATTGTTTGCATGCTTCAGTCAAAATACGAATTGATCCAAGTTGCCAGATGGGGACAGGGGAACTATGTGAAACAAAAACAATTGTAACATTGAGGCAACTTTTTGATTAGCCACTGGGTCACCATATTTTACCCTCAAAGATATTGTTTGAGGTAGGACATTGTAGCAGGTTACTCCATTGTAAGAGATCTCAAACCTCTCAGTGAATTGGTACAGACTCACTGCAGAATATTTTGGGACAGACACAATGTTCATTTATACATCTTCATTGCTATCATTGACTTCATTTTCCTTATTGGGGCATAACTAACATGGTACTGTTAACCAGAATATACTGTCACAACCACCACTGCTGAATTAGAGCCAAATACAATATAAGGGTTGTAACAACTGCTCCAGCCGTATGAAATTGCATTTAAACTTCTGGATTGATGAGGAATGACTTAATACTTACACCAGTCCCTCATACATTTCCTCACAGCTAATGACCAGCTGGAAGAGTCAAGTGCCTGTCACTTTGCTGCAGGCCCTTAAATTGGTCTTGCCATTCATTAACTACCAGGAAATGGAAACCACGAACATATTCAAATGTGAACAAAAATAATTAATTATGTTATATAGAAGTCGAACTGCATGTTGCCATAGACACAATGAGCTGTATGCAGAAATATTCTTTTTCCTATGTGTCAAAGACATTAGAAATACAGGATCATATTTCTACTAATTAGGTAATAAAATGATGAGTGGATTTTTACCCATGAAAGCTTGTGCCCAAATAAAACCGACAGTCTTTAAGGTGCCACAGGACTCCTCCTTGTATATACAACATGAACATTCGGAATTTCAAGGCAGATCTGGGCATAATCCACAGATGCTTCTGCTACAGAAGCACAGACCTCTACCACATGGATTTCCATTTACTGGTGGTGGAAATGGGCCTGTGATGCACTGAGCAGTTCTGACTGGATCCAGTGGAAAGCTGTGTGGTACATATACCTTAGTTTTGTTTTCTTGGCTGCCTGGAAAACACAAAGGACGTTAAAGCTGATACATACTTAGGATACATTTTGATGGGATAGTGATGAAGATAGTTTTTAATTTGT